TCCGGTTTGTTGATCTATTATGAGCCACCGTAGGATCCACTAGTAACTGAAGGCTCAGCCCAAACTCTATTGCTGGTCACCCTTCACTCTCCTAGCGCGCCGTTATGCGTCGTTCGGCCTACTCGCGTCAACTCCTCTTGACAGCAGCTAGTCATTGTGGACTCCATGTAGCTTACAAGTAGGCACTCCCTGACTCTCCAACCTTCATTCTCTTTTGCCGTCTGTCTCTCTTAAGCTTCGCTCGTATGTTGATTTCTTCATCGACACTATAGGTATCCAGTATTGGGCAAACGTCTTAATACTATGGCTGCACCAGCCACTGACTCATTCTTTTCTAAAGCCACTATCTCTGCCTAGCAGCAGCTAGCTGCCATAGCTTCCATTTAACTCTGCGGATATCCGGAGATCAGTAGGAGTCGCTCGTTTCTTACAATATACATTCTCTTGGATTGCTTGCGCAACAGCCCAGATGGTTTGCTTACCTATTATGTGCCACCGTAGGATCCACTAGTAACCACTAGTAACTCCAATGCTGGCCATCATCTCTCTCCTAGCGCGCCGTTAACCAACTCTGGTCAACTCTTCTTGTCAATAGCTAGGCATTGTTGGCTCCAAGTAGCTTGCAAGGATGCACTCCTTTACTCTCCAGCCTTCATTTTTTCTGCCGTATGTCTCTCTTAAACATCGCTCGCATGTTGACTTCTTCATCGAAACTGTAGGCATCCAATAGTGGACAAACGTCTTAATGCTATGGCTGCACCAGCCACTGATTCATTCTTTTCTAGAGCCACTATCTCTGCTTAGCAGCAGCTAGTCGACATAGCTTCCATTTAACTCTGCGGATATCCGGCGCTCCGTAGGAGTCGCTCTTTCTTACAATGTTCATTCTCTTAGATTGCTTGCGTCACAGCTCAGATGGTTTGTGGACCTATTAAGTGCCACCGTAGGATCCACTAGTAACTGAAGGCTCAGTCCGACTATATTGCTGGTCACTCTTCTCTCTCCTGCGCGCCGTTATGTGCCGTACGTCCCACTCGCAACAACTCCTCTTGACAGCAGCTAGTCATTGTGGACTCCATGTAGCTTACAAGTAGCCACTCCCTAACTCTCCAACCTTCATTTTCTTCTGCCGTCTGTCTATCTAAAGCTTTGCTCGCATGTTGATTTCTTCATCGAAACTGTAGGTATCCAATAGTGGACAAACGTCTTAATACTATGGCTACACCAGCCACTGGCTCACTCTTTTCCAGAGCCAATATCTCTGCTTAGCAGCAGTTAGTCACCATAGCCTCCATTTAACTCTGCGGATATCCGGAGCTCTGTGGGAGTCGCTCCCTTCTTACAATATTCATTCACTTGGAATGTTTGCTTTACAGCTCAGATGGTTTGCCAACCTATTATGTGCCACCGTAGGATCCACTAGTTACTGAAGGCTTAGCCCAAACTCTATTGCTGGTCACTCTTCTCTCTCCTAGCGCGTCATTATCCGTCGTTCATCTTACTCGCCTCAACTCTTCTTGACAATAGCTAGACATTGTTGGCTCCATGTAGCCTACAAGGAGCCACTTCTTGACTCTCCAGCCTTCATTCTCTTCTGCCGTATGTCACTCTTAAACCTCGCTTGCCTGTTGACTTCTTCATCGAAACTGTAGGTATCTAGTAGTGGACAAACGTCTTAATACTATGGCTGCACCAGCCACTGATTCATACTTTTCTAGAGCCACTATCTCCGCTTAGCAACAGCTAGTCGCCATAGCTTCCATTTAACTCTGCGGATATCAGGAGATCTGTAGGAGTAGCTCCATTCGTACAATGTTCATTATCTTAGAATGTTTGCGTCACAGCTCAGATGTTCTGTTGACCTATTATGTGCCACCGTAGGATCCACTAGGAACTGGAGGCGTAATCCGATCTCCAATGCTTGCCATTCACCTCTCTCCTAGCGCGCCATTATCCATCGTTCATCTTACTCGCCTCAATGTTTCTTGACAATAGGTAGACATCGTTGGCTCCATGTAGCCTACAAGGAGCCACTTCTTGACTCTCCAGCCTTCATTTTCTTCTGCCGTATGTCTCTCTTAAACCTCGCTCGTCTGTTGACTTCTTCATCGAAACTGTAGGTATCAAATAGTGGACAAACGTCTTAATACTATGGCTGCACCAGCCACTGATTCATTCTTTTCTAGAGCCACTATCTCTGCTTAGCAACAGCTAGTCGCCATAGCTTCCATCTAACTCTGCGGATATCCGGAGATCTGTAGGAGTAGCTCCATTCTTACAATGTTCATCCTCTTGGATTGCTGGCGTCACAGCTCAGATGTTTTGTTGACCTATTATATGCCACCGTAGGATCCACTAGTAACCAAAGGCTTAATCCGAACTCCAATGCTGGCTATCCATCTCTCTTCTAGCGCGCCGTTATCCTACTCTGGTCAACT